GATTTAGGGCCCTGCTCAGATGCTTTCCCTGGGGGTGGCAGCGAGGCGGGGGCTCGCCAAAAAAATAAATAAAAACCTCCAGCTCTGCGCGGGCCCGGGGAGCCGCTTCTGGTTTTCCTCTTCCTCTTCCTTCTCTAAAGGCACCGATTTTTGTTTCGTTTGTTTTTAGAGGGGCTTTTTGGGTGCCCGTGGGCCCTGCTGGAGGTTTGTCTCAGCCTGCAGCCTCTGCTGCTTTTTGGGGGGAATCTGCTGCTTTTGTGAAGCTGGAAGCGAAGATCTGGGGCCGAGTGAGGACGAGGGTCAGGATGGGACCTGTCGTCCATCCCCATCACGGAGCCGCTGGGATAGAGCCGGGTAGCGCCGCCCTTTGCCGCGGAATTTGTTTTTGGTGAGCAGGAAAGGGCCGACGCCAGGAGCAGGAGCCGGGTGACAACAGAGCCGCCCCCGTGTCCCTTCCCCGGAGGGAGCGCGAAGCCGAGCCCCGGCCGGAGCCGCGGGAAGCAGAGGTGCCGTTCGCGCCGCCCCCGGAGCCGCCGCGTTTCAATTAACGCCCTGCGGTCGCCCGTGTTGCCACAACATGTGGCCCTGTCCCCTTAATGAGGCCGCGGGGCCGCTGCCGTGGCGCTTGCGTCAGAGGTGGCACCTGCCGCGTGGCGCGGGCCGCGCCGTGACCTCCGCGTTCCCCCGCTCCGCCGCCCCGTTCCGCTCCCTCGGCTGTGTTTTGGGGCTAGGAAGGAGGTTTTTCTCCTTTGGGTTCTTCTTCCCTCTCACGGGGCAGGAGCTGGGAAAGGGGCTCCGTGACAGGGTGGGAGAAGGGACAGGAGAGCAGCCAAGTAACGGGAGAGCCCGAGCCGAAAGGCCCCAGCGAGCGCTGAAGGAGCCAGAGCTGGGAATAACCACCCGGAAAGTGGCTCTTTTGGGGCTTTTCTGGGTGACGATGGCGTTGGCTATTAGCGGTGGCGGGGGCAGCACAGATAAAAACATCCAGTTTTTAGGGAGAGCCTCGAGAAAGGGGGACCTGAAGGCCAGGGGTAGAAATTTGGCAGGAACTTGGCTCCTTGAAGCTAGGAAAAAGCAGGATGCAGGAGGCCGGAGCGAGGCCGGCCTTCCCGTTCCCGCTGCAAACACCAAGCGCCGACGCCGGCTTTGGAAGCCTTGGGATGGCCGCGGCTCCGGAGGCCCTTCCTTCCCGGAGAGCTGCAGGAGGAGCCGAGGATGGGGCAGAGCCTCCTCGGCAGCCCCTCCGGAGCAGCCGCCGGCGCCCGCTCCGCTCCGCTCTCTCCCTGCGGCTTTTTCCCTCGCAGGTGCCTGGAGCGGCCGGCGGGGAGGTTGGCGGTAGCAGGAAGGCGATTGACCCTAAATTGTCCATTTTGAAGCTTTGCCAAGAAGTTACATCTTTGTCCTTCTTTGTGGCAGAGCGAGGAGGATGAGAAACTGAAGAAGAGGAAGGAGCGGTTTGGCATCGTGACGAGTTCAGCCGGGGCCGGAGCTACAGAGGACACAGAGGTAAAGGACGTTTCCCAGTGCGGAGAGGTGAAGCGGGTGTCCCAGGAGGTGGCACGGGGACGTCCCCGTGCTGTGACGTGGGGCTGACCCTGTCGCGCGGGCGGTCGCTCGTCCTCTGCCCCTCGGTGAGGAGTCCCGGGTTGCTGCCGTCCAATCCGACGTGGTTTTTCCCGGGCTCTTGCTGGGAATCATCGGCTTTGGAACGCGGTGAGCTCAGGACCCTGCCAGCACTGCTGCCATCCGGCTCCTCCGCTGACAGAGGGGCAGGAGGGCTCCCGAAAAGGCAGAGTTCACCAAAACGGCAGTTTTTCACGCTATTTCCCCCTGCGCTGACACGCTCTGACTGCTCCCCCCTGTCCTGGATGCTCCTGGACCTCCTCCTTCCCCTCACATCGTTATGGAAGGTCCTCAGCAATAAATCCTGTGGCCCTACAGCGTAACGAGGGGTGAAACCCAATCCCAGGGCTCGCTCCTCTGTTCCGTGCTCCTTCTGCTCCAAACAGCCTTTGCCTGGACACGGAGGGGCTCCTCCGGCACCGGGAACGACGCAGGTTGTAGGAGGGCGAGCGCTCGGATTCCCCAGGCCGCGGATCCGGATGGATTCCGCGCCTGCGGAGCGCATTCCGCGCGGTTCCTGGGAGCCATCCCAGCAGTCCAGGTGGTGCCTCAGGGCCTCGATTGCTTTCGTTCGGGGTTTGCTGCCACCCAGCGCCCCGCAAGACGCCGGCGAGCGGCGTTCCCGGCCCCGCGCAGAGCCCGGAGAAGGAGCCCCCTTTCCGGGGGCGGCCGGGCCGAGGGATTCCGTGCTTTCCCGTTAGGTCACGTATAGATTGTGCCTGGAACAAAAAGGTCTTTTTACTGGTATTGTGTGCACTCAAATGCACCTTTCCCCTGGAGATTCTTGATTAGGGCTTCTGTTGGCCCCGGGCTATTTATCCTGCTAAAAATTAAGATTTATACGCCCCTCGTGTATCGGCTTAAAGGCATATCTGAGGGACGCAATAGTATATTTAATGCGTTTTAGTGTGTCCCTCTCACCTTTTCCATGAATAGAGGAGTGTTAACCCTTTGCCCTTTTACATTTCCCACCTCCCCACTGCCTGGAAGGGTTTCGAGGCCTCTAAAGTCGTCATTGTTTCCAGCTCGAGCCCTTTTGTAGCGCATTGCCCGCAGGATGAGGTACCTTCAGCAGAACTGTATCTCAGGGCACTCCATGTTTCCTGCATGATTTTGGGGCTCTGTTTGTTCAAATACCAGGGTAAAAAATTAAAAAAAATCATTGCTGCTTGCCCAACACGAGGGTAAAACCTGCCCCGAGTGCCAGCGAAGGCCTTGGAGCTGCCACGCGTGGGCTCTGCACCAACCGCTTCATCCGTGAGACCGAAAAGAGCTTGTTCCCTTGTTTCTTTTGATTCTGATTTTTCTTGTAATTCCTCTTTGCAGGCAAAGAAGAGGAAAAGAGCAGAGCGCTTCGGGATTGTGTGACGCCGTCCGCGCGGCTCCAGCCCCTTTGCAGTGTGCCTCTTGAGTGCGTGCAGACACTTTCTTCCTCCCTTTCTCTCTTCCTCACTTTCTCTCACTTTCTCTAGGACCTAGTGATGAGTAGACAGGGAACCCCCCATAGTTGTATGATTGTGCTACTTATTTTTTCAAGTTGCAAAGTTTTAAAAAGAAAAGACGTAGAGCAAAAAGAAGAAACTGTTCTTATTGCATCTTTGGTAGCTTGGAGTCCCGTGTCTGGTTTTGTTTTCCAGCTGCTCGGGTGGTCATTTACAGCACCTCGTGCTGGACCTGTTGTCCGTATGGATCAGATGGAGAATGTCCTGGTGCCCTCTGAGCCCTGCTGGAAAATGTCCGTGCCAGGTGCAGGAGAGAATCAGGTTCTGCCTGTTCAATAGACGGGCAGATGGAGCTACTATAGGACCCATAGGCTGTATGACAAGAAAGGGAAAAACGTTCAGGAATGAAGATAGAGCAGGGTTTATTGTGCTCTTGGCAGTTGCTTTTCTAGTTCAAGAATTCAAGTTATGCTGCTAAAGCAAGGAACTATTTGAAGTGTCGCTCTCTTTTGTCTGTTCGTTTCAGTTCTGTTTCCATCTCTCGGGCTGCCCGGGTCCTCCAGCCCTTTCCCTCCTGGAAACGGAGCGTCAGGTTGAGCTGGTTCCTGTCCCTTGGCAGCAGCTCGGTCAGGACCCTTCGCCCCGCGGCGCCGTGCGTGAGCCCAGTCCTGCTTGGCTCTCTAGCCTGAGATCCGTCAGGACAAATGTCAGGGAAGGGCTTTCCCTGGGATTATTGTCTCAGGCTGCCAAAAATGGAAGGGCGGCAAAGCTGGTGGGAAGTTGGTAGAGCAAGAAGCAACCTTAGATCGAGACCAGTGCCCCAAAACAAGGAGGGGAAAAGGTGCATTTAGCAGCAGAGCCTGTTAGGTGCTCCCCCATCCGCCGCGCTGGCCCTCGTGGCCTTGCATCGTGCTTTCCAGTTCCATCGAGGTCAGTGATACATTTCTCTCCTTAAAAAAAATCTTGTTTATTCTCAGGCTGGATTCTATTTTGTCCCCTTCTTGCTTCAGAAGATCTCTCTCGAGCTGGATAACTCCCAGACTTGCTGAAGGAGCCCCAGTCTTCTCCGAGCTGCCAGACAGTGCAGGAAAGCTCCGCTGTTGTCCTAGGACCCGGGTTGTAAAAGCCTTGGAAGTTCTTGGTAACTGTAGGAACACGGTTCCTTCCACTGCGTTAACAGTAACCGGCTCGGTGGAACGGTGGAAAATGGCCAAGTCACAGGAAAGGCAGCGTTGTCACAGCTTGGGAAGTGCTCTTAGGTGCTTTTAGCATTCCAAGTGGCACCTCCGCTCTTAGGGAGCCGCCAGGAGCAATTCCTCGCACTGCCCTGCCCAGGTGGAAGCAGAGGGAAGGGCAGGAGCAGCTCCCGGTGCCCTTGTCCTGCCTTCCCAGAGGAGGAGACCCCCGGAGCGTGCGTTCCTGCTGCAGCTCCCGTCCTGTGCAGTGCTTTCCCTCACACTAATACCTCCACCCCAGGTATAAGCAGAAATCCAGGTATCTTCTGGCATTTCGAGATGGGCATTTTGCCCAAAATCCTGTTGTATCCTCGGAATTTTTAATTTCCTCTTGCCGGAAAGATGCTTGCGCTGTCCGTGCTTGGTTCAGATGCTGGAGATCAGCACACTTGTCTACAAATGAAGCTTTTCAGAGGCTTATACCTGACTCTCAGTAAGCAATAGATGAGTATCCCACGGGGCAGTCCCCAGAGCGCTCCTGTTCCGTCCCTGTCCTCCGTGTCCTGTGTCCCCCGCGACGGAGCAAACCTTGGGGTCTGTTTCCTCTCCCAAAGGGCAGCTAAAAGCCGCAGGGTTCAGGTTACGTCTTGCTTGGCGGCGGCCGAGTGCATCGAAGCTTCCTTGCTCTTTCCTGGTTTAATGTAATAACTTCATTCTGACTGTTGGGGTTTGTTTTTTGCTGGTTTTGTTCTCGGGTTATTTTGTATGTCAGATTTTGTAAGATGTATTTTCTATTTGGCCCACGATCTTTCTGCTCGTGATTCGCTGGGGATGTTTTGTGGCGTGCCAGGGCAAACACTGCATTTCACTCTCGGTTTCCTAATAAAACTGCTTCTTCCAGGCGACTGTGGCGTCTGTGAGCGCGGCCGATGGTGCAAGCGCGGGGAGCGGAGGCCCTGCGTGCCTGGGCCATCCCAGCGCTTCGGAAAATTGCTAACGTTGACTTCTTGCGGCCTTGGCAGGCTCCTCGGTGTCCTCTCGCCTCTCCAGATTGACC